TAGAAGTTGTAAGTTGCCGTTGATTGGCCCTTACCTTCTACCTGAACGCCTCGACGGAAATACCTATCGCATTTTTTTAGAAAGAGTTTTGCCGGATCTGATGGGTGACGTTCAAGCCGCTACACGCCGAAACATCTGGTTTCAGCATGATGGAGCGCCTGCCCACTTTAGCTACGCTATTCGAGAATACCTCCATAGGATTTATACTAATCGCTGGATTGGTAGAGGCGGACCAGTCCCTTGGCCGCCGCGATCCCCCGACCTGACTCCCCTGGATTTCTGCCTGTGGGGACACATGAAGTCCATAGTGTACGAGACACCTGTAACATCGGACATGGATCTTATCGCCAGGATCGCGTAAGCGGCAGCACGTGTCCGTGACACTCCTGGCCAATTTGAACGGGTTCGTGAATCCATGCGCCGATGCTGTGAAACGTGCATTGTGGCAAATGGAAGGAATTTTGAGCATTTGCTGTGATGTAATGATGTTTTATAATAAAAATCATATTAACACCGCTATCGATATCATTTTTTTCTCCTCATCCAAACCTGCACTTATCGCCCTCTAGCGGTCTCAGTTTTAATTTTCGGACACAAGTTCCTATGTAAATCTTGTTCATCATGATATGACAGACCAGCATGTTAAGTTTGTAAACGACCTTTTGGGACACCCTGTATATATATGTGTCATATTTAAGCATACCTAATACCATTTACAAAATTAAAAATAGAACGATCACTTAAAATTCTTCCAAATTTCGAAAAGCGCTGACCATTCTTCCTTAATTTTGCGGGAATAAAAATAGAGTTTAAAAATAGCACAAGTTGAAAAATGAAGTTTTATTAAGTTTCATCGCGTTGCGGTAAATATGTATATATAAAAGCTTTGCAGCCTTCAAACAGCTTTTTCAAGGCTTTCATAGTTCAAGCAGTAATTATCTGTTAATAAATGGAATAAATGTCAAAGAAACAACTTCTAGAAGTTATTTCAAAACTACAAGTAATCGAGCAATTAAGGTTATAAAGTACGTAATAGCTCATAATTGAAAAATTAAATAGTTTTTATAAGAAAACTAGAACTACGTGACATTAGCAAAGAGAATAGAGCTTTATTAGGAGGCATCAACTGAAATAAATATTTGTTGGAAGCGCAGAATATATGCGACGCTAATTGTAATGTAAATCCTAACTCTAACTCGTGTTCACGCTGTTTAAAAATCAAAGAATTCGTATTCACGTAATTCGGAAATCAGCACCGCGATTTATAAAATACATAAATTACTGCCAATTGAGCAAATTCCTCAGTTTAGTTAGGTTGCAATCATGGTCAGGATTCGGATAATATATAAGCAAATCGAAATAATGTTAGCTCGAAATCACCAAAATTATTTAAACTATCTGCACGAAAAAGAGAATAATCAATAAATATGTTAAATAAAGTAAAAATAACAGTCACATTAACCTGAGTAAACGTCGTTTTTTAATATCACTATAATATAAATCAATAAAAAGATCGAAATAACTGCTTCATTTGAAGAAAAAAAAATTGTACAAATAAACCACCCAATGCAAATAGAAAACTATTTTATTGAATGATTCTCATAGGCTAATTTGTAATAGTGATTTACTATGACAGAGATGTGGTTTGCCAAACACCACCTATACTAAAATATTATCAAACAATTGACTTTTCTACATCTTTTTTGACAATTTTATTTCAAAAAAAGTTCTTTATTATATTTAATTTCACTCAGTCTTAAATATGTTCTAAAAAATAATTTTCTCAAACAAATTGTTAGTTTAGTGTTACTGACTTAATAATGGTGTGCGTCCTCAGCAAGCCATATTGCCTCTTGTTGCACATGTACCGCGAATTGCTACATTTCAGATGCAAAGTAATTTTTTAATGCAAAGTGAGAAATCGCGAAACTGCGTAATAAAATGCATTACTAAATTGACATATATTTAATAAATTAAACATTATTGCAAATAAATTAGCTTAAGAAAATTTCTATTTAATATTTCTATCATTCAATTCTAATATTCAATTAAAAATTTCTATTTAATACTTACATTAAAAAATTTTTATTTGATTCTCGATTTAAAAACAGTAGAGTAGGACTACGGACTTTCTAAACGTTTTTAGAAAAAATTATAGGATGAGATTCCACCATCAAAACTACAATTTCTGTTTTTATAATGCATATTCAAGTTCATAACAATTTTTCAAAAGATGAAACAGAGGTTTTCTTTGTTTAACTTCAAATTTTACAACAAGAATTTAAGCATTACAATCAAAAAACAGTTTTAAATAGTTACGAATAAAATAGATTTTTGAATTAACTTCAAAATAGAGCCAATTGAGTCTATTTTTGACACAAATTAGTTTTACACTGCAATTGGAAGAAAACGTTGCTACTAACACATTTAAGAATATTATAGACATTATTGTAGCCTTATAAAAAAAATAATAAGCGCTACACCATGTCAAACAATGCACACAATATAAGCATTGCGATCTGAAGTTTTAATACAATTTATTACTCATCAGGGAGAACAATAACATTTAAAAACTAAATTATAAAAAACTACATACATAAAACTTATTAACATAATTTCTAACACAAATTTTTACAGATTTAAATTTTATAGAGGGAGGAAAATACATTAAAATATAATAACTAGTAGTAAGAAATTTAGTTTTTATCTTTGCAATTTTACAAAAATTACAGAAGTACCGCGAAAATACGTAAATAACTTTAAAATTATCAAACTACTCACTATCTGCACGTTTATCACTAATTATAATAAATAAATACTAGCTTTAACGTTAAAATATATAAAATTTTAACTAAACACAAAGGCATTAAAATAAGATTTTGTGTAATCGTAGATAATATTAGATTTATAAATAAAACATAAAATTTTCGTACAAAATAATGTAGTATTTTAATAAACAATCTAACAACAAAATACGTACCATGTTTCCCATTTGGACTAGCTTCGTATCCATAGTTAATAGTACCATTGCAATTGTCAATTTTTAAATCGGTTTGCAAATCATCTTGTTTTTTAAATATAGGTTTGAGAACAATACCATCTTCAAAATCCGACTTAGTCATGCTGATGAGAAATCACGATTTTCAACCAAACACCAACTCAATAAAGGTATGAAAAAAAATTCCAAGTCAGCTTTTTCAATAACGCATTTTTTGTCTTTAAATCATTTCTTTTCAGTTCCGAAAAAACATTCAATAAAACCAAACGATGAAAATAGTTATTATTGCAAGCGATAATTAAATGTGTTATTTATCTAAATTTCAATGACACGTCTTGTGCGGAGGCGAGATCTTTTTCATCCATTAAATGAAAATTCTAATTTATCTTATCTATAAGACGATTTGAGAAGCAGCTGTAATAAAACGCAATTCTACTTCCATAAAAATTCCTAGGAAAGTGTGACAACTGGTTGACAGTTTCATCAGGTTGGCGACGATGCAATAGAACAATCGTAGCTGCGAGCAAGATGTGTGCTCTTACTCTTGGTCAGGAAGAATGAAATCTGCGCTTGGAAAGGAAAGTTACACGGGGAAAGTAAGCAACGCTGTGAGGAAATGAAGGGCACGTTTACGTGAGAAATTGATTAAGTACTCGCGACAGATTCGAAAATAATAATTCTGCCAAAATCAATTATTGTAATTCAATAAATAATAATTTAGAATACACAGTAAATAAGTCAATAAATATTAATTCATGGACTTTTAATTTCATTTATGAAGTATTTTTCATGTCGATGAAAGTATACATAAAATTTCAATCAATTTAATAAGTGCATCAACTTTTAAATATAGATATTTAAAAACATATCTAAATATTATGCATTTTTGAATTTTTTTAATAAAATAACATTACGCACTTTTTTAATAAAATAAAATTTCATTCAAATAAAAAAAAATTTTAATTTAATTGGGTAAGAAAGTTCTTTTTCATTAGGATAGGGGTATGTAGAGCCCTCCAACCCACATTGCAACAAAAAATTATGAAAATCTAACGTCAGAAACTAGCGTAAGAAATTTTAAATCTGTTTTTGAAATTAATTTCAACAAACTTGAATAAAAAAGTGAAATTATAAGTTTTAGTAGATCAATTTTTCAACTTCTTTAATTAAAACACGATTGAATTAAATGTAGTGAAGAGATTTAAAAATCAAAGTATATATAGTGAAAAAAAAATATGCGTAACTTCAATTGTTTTTTAATTAAAAAAATTATACATGTACTTAGTTAATATACAATACTTTGTTTCTTAATTTTAAGACAAAATGATATCATTTATATTACACTCAGAAATAAGATAATGATCAGTTGATGTAAAATCTGAATTCGTTTTGCCTCCTCCACCTGTTTTTTTTTTTTTTTTCTCCAGACCGGCCTTTTCCTAAAAAAAGTCGTGTAACCATGGCGTACTAGGCAATCTAAAATTTATACTTGATTATTTTGACTTATACATTTTCAACAAATGGCAATAGCGACCAATAGACCAAAGTCACACGATAAGTATATAATGTTTCATTTTATTTTACAACCGTCGTTGAACAGCCGACCCAATTTTATGGGTTTACGACTACTAATGTTCAACTCCGTAGTCTTGCAATTTTGAACCCAATCCAGAAGACAGGGGAACTCTTGAATCGAGTATTGGGGGTAATTTGCACTGTGGTCTCAGCACTGTGGTCGCTGCAAGCGGGATGCGGAATTCGTATCGACTGGGATTCGAACCCGGTTCGTCTGATTAGACGGCGAACGCTCTATCCCCTGAGCCATCGCGACTCACGTGTAGAATGTAGTAGGTCTGTTAGTAATCCAAGAAATTCTCATTTGATGATATGAATTAATAGAGATAAAATATTGTTTTACTGAATTCAGAGCAAGCTATACCACGAGAGAAACTTCCCATTGCAAATTCTGTTTCACTTTAATAGGTAATTTAAAATCTAAGTCAAGACAAAAGTGATATCAGGTAAACCATAAAGTTTCAAATGCTGAAAAACTGTTTTCAAAATTTCAAAATCTGAACAGATTATTGCAATATTACTTACCCACAGCGTAATTCTGAGTGATAATGCCATAATTTGTTTGCATTTTGATATTTTGAAGAAGAAAAAAAACCAGCATTTGACTGAACTCACTTTTTCTGAACTGCAAATTTTAAATAACTTAGCTTGATGGTAGAGAATATGCCATGAAGGGTTTATTCCAGGGTATAGTGTCCTCTTACCCCGCGATGAAATGAACTGGAAATTAAAATAGGCACCATGTAAAAAAAAATAAAAAAAGTTAAATAAACTTTTGGAAGAAGAAAAAATTACAACTATTAAAAAGAGAAAGATTTTAAGTTTGCAATTTCCGAAAAATACTGAAGAGTTCAGTATTTAATTATAAACACATCAAAATTGCTGATGTCTTATTTTTCCGCACCAAAATAGTAAGTTGTAAGTTTAATCCCGAAATCAGAACTGTAAATAAATGACTGATATTCGTTGCATCTACCGTGTCTAACGTATGCATGAATAAATAAATATTAGGAGAGTCATCAGCTTTAATGCAGACTACATCGTGCACGTATGATCAAAATCTAACTTCCCTCGACACTGAATGGTTCAGAAATCAAAAGTGGAACGATAAAGGATTAAAGTGAAGATCGTTTTAAAAAAAAATAACGAAAGGCCGCAATTTCTAGAATAGAAACAGAGAGAGTAAAATTTAACAGTTCTGGAATCAATAAGCAGTGTGCCTATTTAATCGATAAGATATAATATTGTTTAATTGATAATGTATCTGTCCACCTAATTATCAGCTCAACTTGAACACCAGCTCAATACCCGCCGCAATTTTCCATTTTTTACGAATGCATCTTGCAGCGGGTTCGATTATCCTTTATTACAGATAGCGAACGTATGGGTGCGGAAAAAGTAAACTAGCCTGACTACCTTAAACGCGGAACACCTATAAAGGGTTCCGCGGAATCTGAATGCTCCGGGGAAAGATCATAAGGGTTCCGAGAGTGATAATACTTTTACCCAGTAATAATATTTATGTCCAATCAATAATCCATAGTTAAAGATTTCGCTGGATTATATGAACTTCTTTATATAATATGCGAATGAAAAAAACAGCTAAATTTTAAATAAAAAATTCTTTTCAATAACAATATATTGAATAAACTATGAAAAGAATAAGGATTTATAAAAATAAAAAAATTATAAGCATTTCTCGTCGAGCTTTTCTATTCAAAATGTAATAACTAAATTCAAAATATGCGTTTCTGAGAAACTATTCTCATCGTTTGTAACTGTTCGTTTTTTTAAAAAAAAATAGTTAAGCATTTGCATACACCAAGAAAAAATTCATAACATTAAATACTTCATCGTCACATTTAATAATTTCAAAATTAATAATTTGAAATAATTTAATAATGCCAAAAGAAGCTCGATCATTCAGGGTTCCATTGACGAGAGAAATCCTCACTTTCAGGAATCCAATCTTTCACTTTGAGAAGAGCATAACCAAGCAAACACTTGCAAAAAAATGAAATACGTACAAATTTTATTTATTTAATTAGGATATTTAAAAATAACACACAAGTTATTTTGTAGTTGAAAATTACCGAGTGTGAATTGGCAACTTTCAATATTTACAATAAAGTTAAAATTGTCCTCGAATTTTGAAAACAACTTTAAAATTATACGATATCTGAATAATAATCATGCGAATATCCACTTTTTTTTCATGTCACCTTCATTAAAAAAAAATGTACCAACTTTTCGAAAATTGGCATTCGAATAGTAAAGCTCGAGTCTCGAGGATGGATGACGAACAATTTCCCTAACCTAAAACCAATCGTTTTCAAGAAAGGCGCATATTTACAAAGACCTAATATTAATCTTATCATGGGAAATTTTCATTCAGATATTTCGTATATATCGAATTAGTTAAATTAATTGACAGTGTTGCTAAATAAAACGCTTTTAAAAACATACTAAAAGTCTCGAATTTGAACCAAAAGAGTTAAATAGAAAAACTAAATAAGTTTTATCAAGAGTATCTAATATGGACCATTTGCTCTTATCAGATTACAGAAAAATTTAAAAAAGTTCATTGCAAAATGTTGTAATTATTCCGATAATTATACGGTAATTACCTGAATTAAAAGTTACATTGAATGAAAATTTGACAAAAAAAAAAGTTTTTTTTCTCAACCGATAAACAAAAAAAACTATTTAAAAAAAAATTCATTTTGATTTTTAGTAGTTTATTAGGAAAAGTTCAGAAACTATTTCTCACCGGTAATTTCGATCCCTTCGAAAAAATCTATACAAAAAATTTATTCCATGGCGAACCAGCTGGTCACAGAAGGTGATGCTCGCCACTATCATAAACTCGCGACTGTACATTGGTCATCCCTCGCGAGCCTACTATTTCGCGTTCTCCATTACTAACTCAGAGTTATGTAATTTTAAAAAGTCATTTATAAATTTGATTTCTTCGAGAACTATTCGATCAATTTCGTTCATATTTTGTACTTAGGCATATAAATTTGAATACTTTAAAAACGGTTAAAAATTTGTGTACCTAACAATTAAAAAACTTCAACTGTAATGAAATAATTAGATAAAAATTATAAATTATTACAGTAAAACTTGTGTAAGTTGACCACTTGTGGTGCATTGTTTTAGTGGTCAACTTATAGAGGGGGTGGGTCATTGTTTACTTCTTCGTTTCCTACATCATGTTGCTGTATATTTAATTTTTTTTTTTACTTAACTTAAAAGTTTTATTCAGAAAATATGCAAATGAATATCTTAAGAAATGTGTTTGAACCTGAATGAACTTCAATTTGATACACATAATTCTAATATTTGACTAATTTTTTTTTTTGGTCGAATTTTCGACCAAATATTTGGCAAAGTTTTATTTGGATTTTTTTTTTCGACAGTTTTTTAGGGATAAATTTTAAAAGATTTAATAAAGAATTATCTAAAATCATATTTCTTACTATACATGATTAGAAATAGTTTTTACACCTATTTGTTAAGTTCTAAAACTTGTTAATTTTTGTTTTGAAGGACAGATGAAAAAGCGAAATTTGAAAAATTGAAACTAGATTATTTTCTACTGAACCAAGAATAATATTTTTCCTGTCTCTCTCTTGATTTTTTTATTAACTTTTCTTTTTATCAGAGTTTTTATTATGACAGCATTTTTAAAAAGTATTCCAAATGAATATTATTATCCTATGGTCACTTTTTTCTAAAAATACGGCAGTGGGTAAAAGTTATATTAAGATTTTTAGAATTAAATCTCTCATTTAAAAATTAATAATAATTTTTGCATCTGTTTCTATCTAGCATCTGTTTGCATCTGTTTCTATCTATTTCTTTTTCAAAAAAATTATGTTTTTATAGATGTTTTTATTATGATGGGAAAATTAAGAGGGTTTCTATTACTAGTTATTAACTAGTCTATAACTTTAATCTTCACTTTTTTTGGAAAAATACGGTAATTGAAAAACCAAAATGTTTACCTTTCAAATTTTCTTTCAAAAATTAAGATTTTCTGTTTTGCTTTTATATACAAGTAAAATCTTCGTTTTAAATAGGCGTTTTTATGATAGAGTTCCATTTTTAAAAGCGTTTCTGACAGGCATAATCTCTTTTGTTTCATGAATTAAGTGGATTTTGTTTTTCTATTTCTTTTTAATAGCTGTTAGTTTTTTCTAATTACCTTAATATCTAATTATCTTTATTGTTTTAAACATTTCTATTAAAGTTTTTTCCCCCTTACCTCATACTAATAATACAGTAATTTTAATTATTTTTAAATAATGACTAAACTTATTTCTATATGAAAAAAAATAGTGATGTTTCTTTTTAAACAAAAAAATTTTGCTATACGGCCAAATCACTATTCCTTGCATCGTTACTTTTCAAATCATAAAAGCAATTTTATTCTTATACAAGTTTATAAAAAATAAATAAAAATGCAAAAATTAGGGGAAAGTTAATCAAAAAGTTACTTTTTTAGCAAACACAAATTTTAAAAGAATAAAACAGAAAAATAATTCTGTTATTAATCAATGTCATGTAAAATTATTAACACAAAAATGCTTATCACCTAAGTAATTTTTCAAAAATTTTGCACACTCATTGGTCATTTTTGCTTTAAGACCTCAAAAAGCATCCAACGATAATTAAGAACAAGAGCAATCAAATTTTAATTTCTTTTTTTTTTAATATATGTAACATTCAAAAATTAATAAAATTAGTGACACTTTTATAAGATTTTTATGAAAAAACTATGCTGTCATGTCCCTTTTGTTGTAAATAAATAAAAGACACTAAATAAATATGTGATACATCTTTAAAAAAATTGTTATAATAATGTTACCAAAATTGAACTTTTATTTCAGATTTAAGAGTTGATGGATTTAAATATTTCCACTTTGAAATTTCCATTAAAACAAGTTTTAATATTTCCTGTTACTCAATTAAATATATAGAGCAAATACTTAAGTTGTAACTGTAATGTAAAATGAAAATACAAAAATTCAAAACCTAACAAAGATACACAAATATTGCAAAAGTTACATTGGTTTGTGTTTACAGGCATCAGTATTTAATAACTATCAAGATGAAGATACAATGATGTAAAAATAGGCTAAACTACTGAGTATGATTGAGCTCAATAATTTAGAAATTATTCCTCATCAATTTGACACGGCTCAGGAAGATCAAAGGCCTTCCGCGGAAGATTTCTTCAAGATAACCAGTTTTTGATAAGCTTTCCCAATATTCTTTTCTTTTATTGTGAAATTATAATAAAAATTAAATCAAAATAGGTATTGACTACACTGATATCAGCACAAGAAGGAAATTTTTCTAGGACAGTTAGTTAGTCCCAATTATAATTTTTTTATTAGCTATTTAGAATTGTAGGAGCAGTTGATGGCATAAAATATTTCTAGCAGAATATTTGATTTATGCAATATTCCATGGTTCCCAATTCAATTCAAAAATGAAATTTTTTAATTTCCCAGGCATAACTAATTAGAAAATATCAACATAATTCCAAGCCAAATTACACAACAATTTTTAATAAAAGAAAATTTATTTCATTGCTTAATGTTACATACAATCTAAGAGTTGTTATTCTCCATGCATGTTAGAAAAAATTTCCACATTTGGTCAAAAAAAAAATCATTAATTTATTAAAATAAAATAAATTCCATATTTTAAGAATAAATTCCATCTAAAGTTTCATGATTTAATATATGGACAAAAAAATTTGTGTAGAAACATAACAGAGTCAATTTTTATTTTATCCTATGAACTGTTTTACAACTTATTACCAATTGTCAACTACCTATGTACAAAAAGGGCTAGAAATAACTTATTTGATGTCATAAGTAAATCGACACTGAGGCTTCATATCAATAAATAATTTTATTTTTAAATAATAATAATAACTTATGTGTTTCTTAGTGATTATCAAAATTAAAGAATGGCTTAGCTAGGCATTCTTTAATTAACAAGAAAAAACAGGGTTCTGAAACAATACATAAAAATAATAACACATGAAAATTGTTTTTAGATCTAAATACTATTAAAAAATTTACGATTTTATTAAAATTCTACATTCTTCACATAAACTGAATTCTAGTACCAAAATTATTGCCAGTCTAAATTCTGTACACATGAAGTGTTTCGCTAAGAAATTATATCTTGATTCATAATTATGCTTGAAGTGCATAACCATGCTTTAAAGATTAATCAGTTTGAAGACTTTCACTATGAATCACGTAAAACCATTAATGAATCATGTAAAACCATTATGAATCATGTAAAACCATTATGAATCATGTAAAACCATTATGAATCATGAAAAACCAGTATGAATCATGAAAAACCATTATGAATCATGAAAACCATTATAAATCATATAAAACCATTATGAGTCTTGTGAAACATTAATTAATGTACTGTTTACAATAATTTCTTATAAAGATTGCTCTATAAATGAAACTTCAGACATTCAAAAACCAAGTTGATAAATCAAAATTAGGAACTTAAGTAATTTAAATGTAATGGACACTAAAAATAAAATAAAAATTCACTATCTTATAATTCCATTAAGTTCCCAGCATTCTATGTTTTAAAATATCATTAAATGGGAAAACTAATACCAACATCTCTGTAATATATATCATCAAGTAAATATCCAATAAGAACACACACAAAAACTTAAATGGTAAATTATAATCAACAGATTTTAACTTTGGGCAATACCACAATACAAAAGGCAATGTAACAAAATAAAAAAAACCATTTAACTGCATCCCCCCATTAAAAAATTTCCTTTTTTATTCACTATGTATCCTATAAAATCAGAAATTGCATTTTTTGAGTATTTAGTAAAAATAATTTTAAAAAAGTATATTGAAATTTTAATATAATTAGCATCTGTAACATCAATCACTAGATATTTTTCTTTTGCTATTTTCTGTACCATAGATAATTCCATGTGTACCTTCAATGTTACCTGCTAATTTGAAGAAGAAAAAAAAAATGTTAAGAAATTTTAGAAAAAATAATCCTACAATTGCTTTTCGAAGGAAAAAATATGTTTTACAATAAAAATTTGTCCTTTTTATCTAACCTCAGTCACATTTAATACTTTTATTCTAAAAAACAATAATTTTCATTCTTTTTTTAATAAGCATTAAATTATTAGGCTATTGAAAAAACCCATTTTTTTTAAATATTTAACAATAAGAAAAATTTAAAATTAGAAAACCTATCAAAAATTAACTTCAGTCTCTCTGGAATTGCCCAAAGAAAAAATGGGTTACTTTGTGCTATGTATACTAAGAGCAAAAAACAGTGTGAATAAAATACAGAAATAGACATACTCAGTTCTATAAAAAAGAACCTTCCTCAGTATCTAAACACAAATAAGAAGCACCAACATTCTGAAGTTTAGACACAGAGGATGATTCCTGATTAGAGAAATAGAACTACAGTATCCCCCTTTTTGTACTTTATTCATGTTGTTTCTTGCTTTCATCCACTGTTTTATTTCTAAAAAAAAGATATCACCTAAATAAAACAATAATAGAAGCTTTTACTAATCGAAGTTAAATAAGTTTAAATAAATAACTTTTTCAATTTTATTATATTATACTAAATAATAAAAAATATTTTACTTACCAATTGAAGCAGAAATGAGAACAAATAAATAAATTCACGTATGGAATACTATCTGAAAGAAGAGCATATATACTCTTATTATGTTTGATTAAATAAATTTATTTAAAACTCGATCAAAAATTTAAGTAACATATGCTAACAAGAATTTCAACTTAAATATGCATACCTGCCCGGTGGTTCTCCGACAAGACCAACACTAGTGACAACTTTCATTATTTTAAAATAGAAGGTACTTTTAAGTAAGGTCGTAATATGACCTTTTAATGCAATGTGTGAAAACTCATATATTTTAAATAAGCTAGATTTTTAGAAATTTTCATTTTAATTTAAACTTTTACACATAGTAATCTGCCATGTAAACACAGGAAGTTATAAAAATTTCACCACAAGATGTTTCAACATGGACTGCAATTTAACATGTCATTGATTAAATTATATAATCGTGAGATGGAAACCTTTCTTAAAAATCGGATTGAACACAAATTCTAAATAGAAGAAATATTGTTCTCAATAATTTGACCTACGATTGCGTAAAAATTAATTGTAACTTAAATTATTGAATTTTTTGAACACAAACACGTTAAAATTCCACAAATTTAGGAAGAAGAGAAGACGGACAGAGCGAAACCGAATGATTGTGCTGCCATTAACTAATTGTTAAATTTTATCCGAAGACCACGACAGCCTGGAATTAAGACACTGAATAAGTTTGGTGGTAGTAAATCACACTTGAGCTATGCAGATTAGTGAATCTCATTTTTTTGGCGTTGCTCAAAAAAAGTATGAAAAAAAGGCAAACTTTTAATTTTAGGAATTTTTCTTTTTAAATACGTAAATTGCAAATTGTCTATCAAAATATATTAAAAATTATTATTTTATATGAAAATGTTGTCACACCCTGGTCCCGCAGTGGACTGATCGTTAAGACACGGTTCAGATCACCGAAGTCAAGCATCACTGGCTACGGTCAGTGTGCTAGTGGGTGACCACTTGGATCAGCCTACGTAGGGACCGAGGGTGTGCGGTATGAGTCCTCGTTAAACTGTTCTACCGTAAAGTGCTCGACTTCGCGTGCAGGTCGTCGGACAACCGAAGCAGTTGGGGGCATCCCCTCTGCAAAGGATCGAAATTGCGATGGCATGTCTTCGGATCATCTTCAGGGATATTTCCCAGACCGTCGCCAATGGCCCATTGTGCAGCTCTAGTGCGACGTAAATGAACTACAACTCAATAATCATTATTCATTTTAAAAGGAAAAAAATTACGTCGTCGATCGATGTTGTTCCAAAACATCCATCTATGTAAAAATCTCAGATTTTTTTTATATGTATATATTGCACGACATTAAAAATATGATATAGTTCGGCTTTACCCTGAACCCCCCCCCCCCCATTCGGGGTATCCAGGGAATACTGTTGAAGGATCGGTTTAGGCCAGATCCTCAATTCTGTTTTCAAAAAGTCTTTTAAAAATCTCTTAAATTCCTTTGTTTTCTTCTTCTTTCTTTTGGTTCCATTTTCTTTTAATGGTGTTGTGGGGGATTTAATTCAGGGCACGAAAAATAGCCGGTCCGCCCGTCCTCGACGGTCAAAAATTCTACGAGGACAACGAATTTCTCGAATCCGACGTCCGCGCGGACGGCCTTTTTCCCGTTAATGCTCGTGATACATTTTCAATTTTTGTTATCTTACAAGAGTCTTGTAAGTTACAAGGCAGCAAAATGACCCACAATACAGCAACATACTGCGCATATATTGATGTTTTCTCTGTCTGGGAGTACTGCAGCGGTTGAAAGGGGCTTTGCAGCAATAAACTTACAAAAAAACACAATACGTACTGGTCTTAAACAAGAAGCTTTAANATTTACAGATGCGGCAGAACGCCGATCGATAATTTTGATTTAAAAATTTTTTTACCGGTAATGTAGGAATATGTCTGTTAATAATTTTCAAAGCTTTACTTAATTGCACTTTAGATTGTACAATGCAGTTGTAGATTCAATTCATTTTATAACGAGCCAGAAAAACAAATCCTACAGAATTATATTGCGCAAAATTCGCCCATGATATCTTGCGAAGAGTTATCCAAGATATCTTGAGAATTGCATGCACAGTTCTTATTTAACAGAAAATTGAATTATTACCATCTTTGCCAGACATTAGGCATTCTGCAAACTAAATTTCTGTAAGTACAGATTTCATATTGTTTTCAACAATGCCTTAGAATAAAATATCTGCAAGTATTTATGTCATACTTCCAAAATATCTAATATCATTCTCAAATAAATACAATTCAAATATAAACCAATTGTGACAGAAGCGTTTATGCTGTAGGAATTGAAATAAAAAAAGAAAGGCTTATTTTTAAAAGTTGAACTCACTCTAAATGTACATCAGTTGCACTTCAAGTTACAAATAGTATCCATTCAAATGCTTAACATACTTGGTACTTAACATACTAAACGAAAAAAAAATGTTACCTACTGGTCGCATTACTCACTTTGAGATCATGAAAGATTGTTTTAGTAGATATAAATTTATAAAAAAAGAAAAAAAATTGATTTGAAATGGGTTTTAGCAACAAACATTGAATTAAAGCACTAACTAAATGTTTAGCAAATCCTAGATGGTACCGACAAGTTAAGATGGTTAATTACTCAAAGTGCTGATTCTTTAACAAACATCTTTGCAATCTCTAAGCACAATATTTTAGGCTGCAGCTTTTGACCTGATTTCAGTCAGAACATGTACGGCTTTGCCACTGGACTGATTTATGGTACTCATAACCCTGTGCAACTCTAGGCCTTGTGCCGGTGAGTTCGCAAAAGCTCAATACTCACGGTTGGATTTCAAGAGAATTCTGAGCATGGACTTTAAGTGTCTGGGAAGCAAACAGCTTAAAATCTTAGGAAAAGGAGATACCCATACTGGCTATGTGTCAACTTGCTTTGCATTTGTAGTTCAAAACACTTTATGCGTTCTTAAGAGGGTGCAAAAAAAATTTAAAAATTATTCCATAATTTTAATATTTAATTAATGTATAAAGAACTATGGCTAAATAATATAAGAAAGACAGAGAGGGACTTGTTTTTACAAATATCACATATAAAGTAAGCTACGCAGGTGGAATGAAGGCAGCGTGGATTAATTAATTGGTAATTTTTGTAAAATGACACACTATTTCAATGTGTTTTGGTAAATTGCACATTGAAAAAACACAAGTTTTTATTCCTTAAAGATTATAAATCACATTTTTTTCATGAATGATTATAAGGGGAAAGAATTCCCAATATACCATGACACCTAATCCTACTATTGATTCTTAAGAGTAACAAGGAGAATTAAAAAAACCATCATTAAAATGGCCTTTTTTAATTATTTATTCAGATAAGTGGCACACCTTTCTTGTCCCCTAACACTTGATATACTGACTCATGATAAATTGGTCAGTTTTAAAATAAAAGATTTCATTTATAAACAGTATTAACTTTTATCAATGTTTCTGCTCATATAATAACAAAACAAACCACAGTTTTTCTAATTATGTAATTTATAAAATTAAAGCAAATAATACTAAAGAAATTGTTTACCATCTAAAGTGGAAAGAATCTGTTCAATTTTCGTTTTCATTGTAAAAATTATTTGTCATTTTATTAATAAAAAAAAAAAAACTATACGAAGATTCCAATTCTAAATCACCTATTTTTTATTTTTCTCGAAAAATAAAAACTTATTTATAAGAATAATATGTAGCAACAGCATACTCATTTAAATATGTATGAGTGTATTAGTAAATAAAAGAACAAAAGAAACAAACAATAAAACATTTATTTTACATAACAAAATTGCAAATAGCATAAATAGATTATCCAAATGTATATCATAATTTGCAACAAATAATCAGCATAAAAATATATAACTTTGATCAGCGAAACACAGTTTGATTATGCATTGTAAGCAGTTGATGAAACATTTCCTCCATGGCCCGTCCAATTAGTATGAATGAATTTTCCAGGGTCACTGAGAAGTTCATATGTGTGTGCACCAAAATAGTCTCTTTGGGCCTGATAATTAAAATAAAAAGTGAGATAAAAATCAATTTAATTCACAAGACATGAAAATTTGACATTTAAAAATATATAAATGAACACAATAAAAAAATATTTTCTGATTAAAATTATACTAAAAGATATTAGCTACTATTTGCAGTACATTAATTTAAAAATTTAATTTTATCTTAAAACTATTGAGAAATGTCTGACTTCAAAAAAAATACTTGATTAATTTTAATGGTCAAATGCAAATTTTATAACTACATCCTAAGCAATTGTATATTCTAAAGCTATACTTTTAAAGAATAAAGGAAATAATAGTTGAATAAAACATTTACTAATTAAAAAATGTACTTATAATGTGGAATAGAGAGTTTAAATTCAAAAAAAAAAGTAAAAAGGTTAGAATTTCTTTTATTCAGTTATTTCTTTATTCAAATTATGTTAAAATCCAATATGGGAAATAGAAGTTATTATTAACCTCTACACATAGAAAATACTTTTTAATCAAATTTATGTAATGTGATAACCAAAATATTACTTTAGCTTATTATATCTAATGTTAACTTACTATATGCTTTGAATTTATTTTCATCACAAATATTTTTAAGGAAATATAACAAGATTTTTGTTTTTATACTTATACCTGAATAAAAAGCTAAACTAAAATTATAAAAAATCTAATGTAAAATAATAACCATGTCATTTTAACATATATGGGTTTAATAAAGAATTCAATGTGAATACCATAAGTTTGCTTTTAAAAATTATACATTTAGAGGAACAGAAGCCAAAAAGGGATATGTAGAAAAATACCTAACAGTCTCTATCATGAATTTTTCACAAATGTATTGCAAGTAAAACTTTCACCAAATAAATAAATTATTACCTATATAATAAAAGGTATTAATCATTCAAATTCACATTTTGTCATATAGTATCTTTAAATAAATAAAAAATGAACACTATTAAAATAAGGCATTTATAAAACTCTCATTGAACTTTACTAAATATTACTATTTATCATTTTTTCTGCAGCAGGAAAATGAATTTATAATTGTCATATTTCATGGACTAAAATCATTGCTGCCAGTTTCTTTAAAAGGCTATCAGATCAATTTTCAAGGAAATAAATGTATTTTCATTCCTATTTTCTTGCTGGTTGATATGTTTTACACACAATATGAAATTACAAATAAGCAGTTAAATAACAATTCGAATTACAGAAAATAACTATACTAAACCATGTATCTAGGAATACCATTTACTAAATATAAATAATATGCATATTGAAATTCAATAAAAGAGTCTTTTTTAATAATGTTGTTTGGTGTTACTAATGAATCTGGGGTAGCAATTTTTCATGGATTTTAGGATGATTCAGAACAGCAAATTTTTTATTTTTGGCACAAAGTAAATCGACAATTAATACTTTTTGGTTGATCTAATTTATTTTTATGTTGCATAAATAATTTATTAACTATACAAACTTAGGGGTATTTCTTTAAGGATAGAGAATAATTCTTAATTTTCTTATATTAATACCAAATAACTTAATCAAATGGATTTTTATATATTTATTTAGCTTGAAAGTACTAAGTCTATGAAATTTTTATTATGATCTGGAAGACCCTTTTCAGCAAATGAGAAAATGAGTCATATATATAGATATAAAATGGAAGGAATAAAAATAATTAAGGGGCCTTAACCAGTTGAATTAAAGCAGTACCCACATTATTTCATACAAAGACTATTATGTATTATTGAAAATTATATGATATTCAAAAAATAAAATGCAATTACCAAAACATTCCCACTCACTTTTAGAACGAGAGTGGAAATAAGGAAAAATTTCATTAAAAAGTTGAATTTTATAAAATAATTTTAATAGATGTTAAAATTATTTAACTTGAATCTTAATAACTGATTACTGTAACTGACAATTCTAAGACTGGCTATTTTCCAGGTATAATATAGGAATTTTCTAGGTTTTTATAGAAAAATTGCTTCTTTCCCTGCTTTTTAGAGTTAAAATAAAATTCCCTGACAATCCCAGGATTTCCCTGTGTTGTGAGAGCCCTGAATAATAGGCTTGTACCTGAATGAGGTTCGCTGGTAACACTTCTGACCGGAATCCATCATAAAAAGCCAAAGCAGTGCTAAATGCAGGAGTTGGGATTCCCAGAGTAACAGCTGTAGCCACAACATGGCGCCATGATTCCTGGCAATTATCAATTGCATCACAGAAAAATTGATCCATTAGAAGATTTGACAAATCAGGATTTTTATCAAAAGCAGCTTTGATATTTCCAAGGAAAACACTGCAAAAAAAATAAATAAATAAATAAATTTTCATTCACAGAATCAATCAATTTTGAAGGCCTTAAAAAGTTATACTAGTAAATCTTGAATTTAAAATGTAAATATTTCAATTACAGTAAAATATATATCAATAATAGCCTCACTCAACTGTGAAGTGATAATGAAATGATTATTTAAATATAATGTTTATTAATTAAATGATTATTTAAATATAAGTACTTAGACTACAATTAAATATAGTTTGCTTAAGTATAAATAAATTTAGAAGGAACTATAAAGACTTAGAGTAGACTTACAGTTTATGTTATTTATGCTGTTTGTCCAATTAAAAACGAGTTACAACTAAGGAAATAGCACTTTTCATTATTATCGTTTTATTTATTATTTAGTAATCTTAGTAATGCCTACAAAAGGTTTTGCAGACTTTGTGGTACAGAGATGGAATATTTATTGCATGAAAAAGAAAATTTAAAAGTGAAAGAGTTTTGAAGAACTGTAATTANCATAGTTGCCAATTTGTATAGTTACTTGGGAAGATTTTTCAGAGTGACAGTAAATAACAATTAAAGTAGGTTGAATCTTTTAAATCTATTTCGCTAACACTTCGAAGCAATACTGCGAAACAAAAAGATCTTGCATACATGTTTGAATTCACAAGTAAACTTTTCATTATGTGTTGTGGTGAAATTAACTGAGCTTAAGGCCCACACGTAAATATTTGCTCTGAATGTAAACAAAAGCCAGTTCTGGAGCATGCAAAGAGGCTTCTTCCTTCTTCAAACAGGCACAAAGCATAGCTCATTATGTAATAGTTTAACGGTTTAACATCTTTCCTGGCAACATGGAAAATATTTAGATTAAAAAGGAAACAGATAAGAGGCTTTGTCCCAATCTAGTTGAGTATTATTGATCTGTTGCGATAAAACAATTCTCTTTAAACTTGGGAAAACAAGAGTTTTATGTTTTAAAACAAATGTTTTGATCACTAAGTTATATTTTCCTTAATAACAATACAAGCTGGCAAGTATGCCTTAAAAAGATTCAAATGCAAATATGGGAATATTTTAATACATAGCATTTTGATCCCTATTCTTTACAGTTATTCAATCATTTTATCTACAAGCTAAAAATTTCTGTTATACGGTAAAACAAGGAATGCTGTATAATAAAATGCTATTGATTTAAAATTTTATAAATTTCTGTTAAAGAAAGAAAAGAAAATGTAATAATAAATTAAAACATAACAAAAAAATTCTACATTTAAATAAAGGCAGCTTTTTATGTTTCACAGGATGGCATTATATGATTTCTAGTAATTTCTTCTGCTCTGTACAAAAATAAAAAAATAATAAATAAACGAAGTGCATGCTTAATAGGGAGCATTGTTATCTATATATAAATTAAGGACATTTATAAAAAAAATTAAAGACCTTTAAAATTAAAAAAATTAATTTTAAAGGTCCATTTGAAAATACTATATTAGTTGTTAATCATCAAATATACAGTTATTGTATGCGAGAAAAAACATTCTGATTTTTCTCGAAAAACACAAGACTTTCCTATGTAACAAGAAGTACTGATGTGATGATACTCATAACAGTACTGTTTAGCTAATAAAAACTTTGTTTCAAAATTTTTTACTAAATTGTTTCAAACTAACGATTTAAGAAATTGAGAACTATGAACCTTAAATCAACATTGAGTACTTTTAGAGGGATTTAACTTTCAAAATAAAATAAAAAAAGAGTTTTTAAGAAATATGGGAACTCTGTCAAAATTAATTTTATGATAACAAGGAAAAACATCTAAATACTGTATACATGTGAAATAAAATTATGAAACAAACTATAATACCTCCTAATAATGCAGCCACCTCTCCACATCAAAGCGATAGCACCATAATTTAATTTCCAATTAAATACTTTTGCTGCTTCCCGAAGAAGCATGAAACCTTGTGCATAAGATACTATTTTTGACGCATACAAAGCCTAGTTGGGGGAAAAAAAAGGAGAGATAGAATGTTATTATTTAGAGAAGTAAAAGCTTTATTATTGTACAAATAAATTGAGCACATTTTCATTGCAATTCAATTAATAATAATTCTGTAAACTATTCACTCAATGCCTTATTCTCAAAAAGCATGCAAAAATTTTCTTATATTTTTATTTTTTTAATAAAAATTTAATTTTAGAATATAAAAAAGAAATTTCTATACATAAGATTATCTTAAAGTGAAGTAAATAGAAAACTAAGATTCTTTTATAATTTCACCAATTTTTGATTATATCCTCTATTTATGAGCAGTTATTTTTGAAAGTGAAAGCAAAAATAATAAATATCTCTAATACTAAATTTAATGCAAAGCTCAAAATCAAAGGCAACCTGTCAGTTTGGGACCCTTAAAAATGTACGAGAACCACCGTAAAATAATGATCAGTGGTCCCCTGGACCAGCAATTGATCTAAAGGAATGGTATGCTGTTTTGTTTTTTCTTATTTTTGCTCTTGATTTCGTAAAAAATTGCTTATTTTATCATAACTGTGTGAATTGCATGTTTTCTTGTAATATTTTTCATTTAGATTTACTTTATAAACTTTTTTTAAGAAAAATTTAATAGAGACAAATAAATAGAACAATAAAAATGACGGACTAGTAGTATTTTTTAATTACTGGTCCTGTGATATTGTGACTATATTTCCTTATTTCTACCCAGTATTGAAAGATAAATTTTGTTTGGATCAATTTAAAAAAATTGCCCAGCGTCAATTTTTTTAAGTACTTTATCTAGAAATCGTACTTTGTCAAATTTATAATTTTTAGATGTAGAATGAGAATATCTAGTCACATTAAAACAACCATTAACTAGTTTTTATTCATCCACAAGTGCTCATATACCACTTAAGAGAAAAACATTTAACACATTTCTTTCCAGTATTTCAATAGTTATTTTAAACTATCTCTTTTTTTTCTTAGGTTAATGATTAGTTTTATTACGAACATAATTTAAATAAAAATTCAATTTTTATTCTTAGTCAAAAATTCAATTATTTTTTTACATTACACTTCTAAAAGAAACTTATACATTATAAAAATGCTTCAAAATTAATTGTTATTAAGATATCGAATATTTTATGATATTCAATATAAATATTAGTTTTACCCATAAGTAAATAAAATAACATAAGAGAATAAAAGTAAATTCAGCACTCCAATAAAAAAATATAGGTAATAATAATTTAAAAATATTTATAAAGTTATAGAACAGTTTCTACCACTTATTTAAATAAATTTACCTTTCGTATGTGTTCAATAAATTCCTTTTTGTTCCCTTGGTATTTAACTCCAGCTGGACCTTTCAAATATTTGCTGGCTTTAACCCTTTCATCTTTCAAGGATGACAGACATCTAGCAAAGACTGCTTCACCTAATTTGTAAAACAAAAATAAAATTGCACTATACAAGATTTATTAGTGAAGACTGCTTTCATTTTTATAATTCTTTTTTAAACTTTAAATTTGATTTTGTTGTTTCATAAAAACATAAACTCAATAGACACTAACCTTAAAAAAAAAGTATATTTGTTTGAGAAGTATTTACACGAATTTTTAAAACAAATAATGAAACAAATCATTCTTGGAATCATCTAGTTTAACTACAGTAAAATCTTAATTCTAATAAAAAAAATCTTAATTTCAAAATCTATATCCAAATTTTGCAATATTTTACTCACAGGTCCCAAGCTCTCTTGTAAAATACACCATTACAAAATTAAATACACTTTATAATATAGATCAAATATACTTCCATTGGTTAATTCTGTATGAACATAGCATCATATTTTAGTACTAATAAAATTACAGTTGAAATAATTTCTAAGGTAATATTGCATTCCTTATTGCATTATTTTAAACTTGGTAAATAGAATTCTAAGTTAATTATCTCACCTATTAATGTTACAGGTTGACCATAATCTAAAGCAGAAATGGCAGTCCATTTACCAGTACCTTTCTAGATAAAGATATACATGGTTTTATTAAAATCAATGAAAATAATTTATAATTAAGAAGTTGAAAAAAAGTTTTATCTTACAGTTAATAATATGAGTTTTTCTACAGAAATAAAACATTCATTAGTACAAGCTTATAATGTGTAAATCTAGAAATGTTTTAAAAAATTCAAATTTCTAAAACACATAAATCATTTTCTAGCACTATGAATGTACATATTAAAATAAAAATGCAGTCATAATCTGTACAGTTAAACAAGAAGTCAATATTTTTGATAAATATATATTTCAAGCTAGTATTGTACTTATGATGAACAAATAGCAAGAAAAAAAATTATAAATTTAACAAAATTATAATAAATATTTCAAAGCACAGGCAGATTTTACATATTTTCTATTGAAAAGTGACTTTTTAGCAATTTAGTCTTCAAAATAGCTAAATAAATAGCAAGTCAATTAAGGATTGTTTATTTTAATGATAGTTAAATGAGTAAACAGACATTTGAATAATCAGTAAATCCATTTAAAAACTACAACTTCATATTGATAAAAGTGATACATTAATCTTTTATTCCACTTTAATTTTCAAAATTGGAATAGCTAAAATGGAAAAAAAAAAATACTTGTATAGAGAAATCTGTGGTTATTTTAAAAAGTAAAAACTTACTTGTTTATTTACTAGTTGTCTTTTTTATTATTGATTGTTTTCAATCAAAAGTCAATTTAGTTTCTCCCTTTTTTTAAAATTTTTATTTTATTTTCTTTAATGTTTTTTTAAGAAATGTATCATAGGGATTATTTGCATGACAACCCTAATTGCAACCAAAATATGGATAGAAGGTCAATTTTTACAACACTTTAATTTAAATATAGTGAAATTTAACTTTTTTACAAAAAAACTTAAGAATGAAGCACAAAGTCATGAAAAGGGAAAAAAATGCCCCTTTTTATATACAGTGGAGCATCGTTTATACGACGCCGAAGGGACCACCGAAAAACGTCGTATAAACGATAACGTCGTATAATCGATTTTAACTTCTAAAATTTAAACTAACTCTGTTTTCAGTTAATTTTAATGTTTAACGTGTTGATTTACATAAATTTCTAAATTAGACAAAGCAAAACAAACAAATAACCAAAGAAGAAAAATTGCAGTGAGCAATTTGAATGTATGTTACCTTTAATTATATTTTCTTGCTATTAGTCTCTACAATGCTTTGAATAGCGAGTTGAACTTACTGCTTTCTATGATGCAATTTTAGATTTCTAATCACGGCCAAATCTAATGGCTGAAGCGCACTTGTGCAATTTGCAGGAAAAAAGAGAGCTTTTACATTTTCCAAAATAATTAGTATCGATGGGTGCGCTGGACATTGGTCGATGAATAGCAAAATTTTTCGTTTTTGCCTCTTCATAACATTGTCTAGTTTTTTCAGTCATCTAGTAAAAATTACGGTCGTCATCCAAGCATTCTTGTTGGCACCCTTTTCTGTATCATTCATGTTGGCAAATTCCGCCCTTTTTTAAAATACACAAGAAAAAATAAAAAATTAAGTAAACGTGAACAAAATCTAAAAACCGACGTATAACCGATTCCGTGCGTCGTATAAACGATATATTTTTACATTAAAATGAATAGGAATGATTTGGGACCACACTAAAACGTCGTATAAATGTAAACGTCGTATAAGTGATCGTCGTATAAACGATGCTCCACTGTATATATATATATATTATAAACATTTTATGAACAATGCAAAAAATAAATTACTTTTGAAATTGATACAATTAAGTTTTTTATTTTCACAAATTAGGAATTTTAAATATATGCTAAACTTTTTTATAGTTCAAGACTAAAAAAAATTCCTATGTCATTTAAATTTTGGCTTTAGAAACGTTTCAAATTATTTTAGCACCATTGTCTTTGAAGCAATTATAAACTTGCAGTAAATTTTGAAAAAAAGAAAAAAATTTGTTGAGATCAGTTACATACATTGTTATAATGTATATTTTACATAAATGTAGATTTTTCAAATGCGGATACTTGAAAAGTCAATATGAGTTTTATCTCGTATCCTGTCATAAATAAAATTTTTCATTTAACGTGTAATTAAATGTAAGAAAACAACCAATGTTTAAACAATGATTAATAACAATTACTGTAATTTCCTAAAGTATTTGTAAATTCAAAAATGAAAAAAAAATATTCAAAAAATTTTGTTATATAGATAGAGAAAAACCTCACCTGGCCAGCAGAATCTCTTATTTTAGTAACTAATGGTTCCCCGTCTTTCTTAAATTTTAGGATATCACTCGTGATTTCAATTAAGAAAGAGTCCAATTCACCTTTGTTCCACTCTGTAAATATCTGAAGAAAAAAAAAAGTCAATTAAAATCAATTACTCTACAGTATAACTAAAATCACTTAAGATGAATATTATGATCCTCATAAAACGTTTTGTAAGTTGATAATTCAAGTTTCTAATAATAATGAATAGGTAAATTTTAGACTAATTATTGATATTACTTCATTATTTATATATTTAAATAAGAACTAGTAAATAGAATCTGCAGACATTAAATACTTTTTTTAAATTGTAATGAGTAAGTAACTAAAAACTACACATGTTTATATTAGTTAATTTAAATAAAATAACATAACACAGTACTTAAAGGCAACTAGTCAAACGTACAGTAAGCTCTCAACTACCCGGTTCTATATTATCCGGCCTAGTAATAAAAAGGAGGAATACTTGTTAAAACTCATTAAAGAGAAAGATGAAAAAATAAAGAATGCTAAATTGATTTTCAGCGGCCAAACCCCCCCCCCTATCAAACTGCTGTCTACAAAACTCATAAAAACTGTATAATTTATACTATGCAATATATTTTATACTCTAATTTATAACTATATAANAGATGAAAAAATAAAGAATGCTAAATTGATTTTCAGCGGCCAAACCCCCCCCCCTATCAAACTGCTGTCTACAAAACTCATAAGAACTGTATAATTTATACTATGTAATATATTTTATACTCTAATTTATAACTATATAAATAATTTTTCATATTTATGTAGTTTATTAATATAAAGTCAATATTTTTCATTAATATTTTTTTAATTTATTAAATCCATGGAGATACAAAAAGATTTTCTCATGCTAATAAATGTAATAATGGACAATAAATGATTTTTAAAAAAAAAAAATTGATTATAGTGCAAATATAACTCAATTTTGTGTAAAAAATTATTTAAAATTCTAAATCGTTTCAAACAAGCTTAAAACTTTTATTAAAGGAGGTAAAAACAGATAAATATTTTAAAACACTACCATTAATAACACAGGGAAAAAATGAGACGGCTACAAAAAAGGAATAAATAAATAATGCAAAGATTTTTTTATAAACTTTTCAGCTAAATTTTACCATTTTTTATTAGCAACAAAATATTTAATAGGTGAAATAAAGTGATGATAAATAAGCTTGTATTTTATTTTAATGCATTCTGGCACACTGTTTTGGATATTGAGCCTTTAACTAAAAACATCAAATTTAGTTTCAATGTTAGCTTTCCAGCACTGAAAACCGATTTCCGACATTTTTTTTCAATGGAGATGTGCTAGGACAGGAAATTTTTTTACAAATTTTCCAGAGCTACAAATAAGTTACAGAATTAAAAGGGAAAGAAGAATAAAAATGGCTTACTAAGTGAAACTCGAATCAGTCACCTAGTTCTCTATCAAGTTTCTATTATAACTTAAATTACCAAACACTAAATACATAAATAAAAGAACTTCTATATTAATAGATAAGGCCTTTGAACATATTATATTTGTAGTGTCTTCCTTAAAAATTTTTAATAAGTAATTTTCACAGGAAAAGTCAATTTAGAAGGACATCATTATTTATTTATTACAATTCAATAAGTAAATAATGATAAAAACATTAACAGTTAAATTTTTAATGGAACAAAAGAGAAAATTGAGCAAAGCAAAATGAAACATACTTTACTCATTTCATCATGGTCAAGACGAAGGGCATCTTTCAACAAATGGTAAGCTTCACAAATAAGTTGCATATCACCATATTCTATACCATTATGAACCATTTTTACAAAATGACCAGAACCTTCATCTCCTACCTATGTAAAAATAAACCAATTAAGTAAAAAAAATGTTATTAGTTTACATCCTTCATTTATGTTAATTCAATTCTACATTTAAAAATACAAAGCTAAAGAGAGCAGCCTCACCGTGACATTTTCCTTAGATTGCATAGATGCTTAGGTTGGATATTGATTTCTCCACTGAGCTGATAGCAAATATAAGAGTTTTTATAAAAAAAACTCGTTGAATTTTTTGATTATGTGAAGTATTAGCTCACAGTCTAATACTTTATAATAATTAAAAACAGTACAATGGCTCAGATAGTTCACAATATTAGTGACCACTGATCTAAACTGTTTAAATTTCCCCTCATTAACAAATGAAAATAAGTAAAAGGTAATAAATAAATAATCTCCAGAAACTGAAATTGTAAGAGATTACTGATTAAAAACTTCATTTACTACAAAAATATAGAAATTGAAAAAAACATTTCCGATTTCTATATTTTCTTCTTCTTATTCACATTTGACAAGTCTTGTAAATTGGTGCCTATTTTTGAGCGCTTGAAACATGTCGAATATTTTTTCCAATTTGCATATTTTTGAAGCAAATGAAGTTTTTAATCAAGTAAATAAAAGGTAGTTATTAAAAATTTTGATAACACTGACATAAATAGACTGATATAAATGCTGTGAAAAAGTTTAAAGAACTGCAAATATGCTAAGGTCATTTTTGCAAGCTTAAACTGAAACATTAAACAAAAACAATGAACATGTGAAATAATTTGTTATTTTTTGCATCATGTTTTTTGATATAAGTATAGCAAAAATAACAAACCTGATTTAATAATACATTAAAATAAAATACTCATTTTAAAATGAATTTAAAAACATTTTAATACATAATTGTGATGCCACAATTGGCATTACATATTTATTTTCTATCCTTTTAAAATATCTTTCATTACTTAAGCTCATTTTTAATTAATAGAATTATATTTAAAATAAATCACAAACTTAATCTTTTAAAACGAACATAAAATATTTATTTCTTCTCTTCTAGATCAATGTAACGGATACTTTTTTATTTCATTACTAGGCAGACTGTTTAGTTCATTGTCGCCACTAATCGAAAACAAAAATCTATTTCTAACTTTTTATTCTAAATTTCCAACCGCTAAATGTTTCAGTTGCATGGTTGTAATAATTCTCATAAATTTGTTGGCGACTCGTGATCGCCAAGGTATTCTTTTAAACCCATATTGATATGCTGGTTGGCTTTGTTTTGGCTATGATATATTATGATAAATCGCCAATTTTGGATCTCCTACCCATACTTTCTATGTCCGTTGGGAATAACTATATTCACTGGGAATTCAAAATTTGAAGCGACTAGGAGTGCCCTTTTGGGCGCTCCTGTCCCAGTCATCCTAACGGTTTAAAAAATATATGCAATCGTAACGAAATGCTAACAAAAACTTCTAAATGTGGAAGTTATATTTCCTTGATCCCTTCAAGAGATTTATTTTTGATAATTGGTAATTTTTATGATGGCCATTCTGAAGAAATATTGTTTAATAAATTGGATTTTCANTAAATGTGGAAGTTATATTTCCTTGATCCCTTCAAGGGATTTATTTTTGATAATTGGTAATTATTATGATGATTTGTATTGATGGCCATTCTCAAGAAATATTGTTTAATAAATTGGATTTTCATATTTACGATTCATATTAATTTCCTGGAGACTTTCATTTTGTTTCATCCATTTACTTTTATTAACGGCAAATACGAACAATAATGAATTAAGATATATTCCACTATACGAATATTGGCGGCTACTGATGGAGAAACAAACCTCGGTTATAATAATATATACCATTACACCAATCTCTCACATATGAACACTAAAAAAAGTACAAAAGGGATTTCATTTATTAAAAAACATTAAAGGAAAAGAAGATATTAAAAACTATTTAAATTATTATTTACCCAGTCGCAACAAGGTTCTCCATCTACTTTGGCAGCTATGCTTTGGAAAATATTTTTAATGTGGGGCCTGCAATAATAATGGAAAAAAAATGAATGATATATTTGAATTCCTAAATTTTTATTTACCCGTTCATTAAAACTAATTATTAATCAAATAAAAAATTTCATATAAAAGTTGGTAGATGCAATTCTTAACTTTCTTTTTTTAAGTTTTTTTTTCCTGTAAAATATTAGATTACTATTCAATGATTTCACCAAGTGTATTTTTGATCCTAGTTTCGCAAAACTCAGTGCTCAGTTGAAATTTAAATTTCTATGACTTAAGTTAACTAATTTTTAACATATCATTACCTGGAATTTTTTTTAATGGATATAAAATTGAATTTAGTCTGTAATGCTAATGGAACTTTTCATGCTAAATCAAATTTTTCGAATAAAATACTCAACCATTCAGGTTTTATCAATAATGATGCTAATGCAAATAATCCAAATTTTCTAAAGCATTTATTTGTGATTGTTATTATTGAATAAATTGAAAAGATATCTTAATATTCTTTACTGTCTCCTTGTACAGCTACGATGGGTGTTGTCATAATGGGGGACTTCCAACACTTGCGTATGGGCCTTATGGCGTGGGCAAAGAATTCTTAATATTCTTTTTAGGATTAACAAATTAAACAGCCAAGACCTTGCTAGGACGAAAAAATACTGGAACTTTGAAAAACAGACATTTAAAACAACAGATAATTAATATTTAAGAAAAAATTAGTAAGAAATTCACCCTTAGTTAATACTGCTGAACGGTAAAATACCTATAGATGTTTTTGGGACGTCTTGTAGTTCATCACTAAACTCAAAATGTATTTCCTTCTTGTATTTTATCAATTTTTAAGTTTTTTAAATGTGGCCTTTAAGTTTTGGAAGTTACATTTCAGCAAGTACAGGTCTATATACTTAAAAAATAGCACATCACCCATTTTCACTTATTAGTTTACAGCTAATGACAGCTTAATATATCTACAGCTCTTTTCATATACTTAAGATAACATGCCATTTGCTTATCTATTAAGAATGTATAAAACGACCACAATCTCAACAAAAAATTTTTATACAAAAAAATCCAGAGTGCGTGAGCTCAAGGGTTTAGAGTTCAAATTTCATATTATTCAGGCTTTATAGAATGTCTTGCACAGCCCTCTGAGTAGGTCAAGTTTAATTTTCCAAACCCTATACACATAATTTGAAAGAATTTCTTGGATTTTCAGTTTCACAAAATGAGGTTAAAAATTCAAATGTGATCCCAGTTTTCATTTATAATTCAAAAGTTAGATTACCAATAAAAGAAACTCAATTATTTTGATTAAAAACAATATTAATTTAATCAAAATAAATGAGTTTCTGCCTTTTATTAACTATAATCTATATAATTTTCGATGAAATTTAAAATCAATGACCTCAATTAAAATAATAAATTTCAAATAATGAAAAAACTACTGTGTTTATTACACACAAAAACAAACAGTAAAAGAATACAAAATATTTAATTCTAAATTGAATTTGCTTGTGAAATCGCTGTTTGACCTGGTTTTTATTTTCTGATGATTTTGTTTGAGTTTCTTTTCTGAATTGGTTCTATGTATTTCATGTTTTTTTTCCTGGATTTCTACAAAACCTTCGGGGTACTGAGGGAGTTAATTTAGGCATTTGCCCTCTCTCTCAATAGAAAAAGGTTTTGTTTTATGGCCACTGGGGCCCGTACCCCCTGAAGTCGTCGGCTTCGGTGGTCATATTTTTACTAAGTAAAAAATTAGTTCATAAGATAAACACATTTTAATATACACTTTACTTAAAAAGAAAGAATAATATTAATTTTAAAAATTAAACTAATTTTTTAACAGATTAACATTTATGAAAATGTTATTTAATGTCTGCATAATAATTTACTCAAATTTGAATTGTATGTATTACTTGCACATAAAGCTTGATAAATTTACCAATTATTAGTCACTGATAAAAGTTTTGAACATACACATTGAATTGAAAAGATGCATGCATATTGACTGCACATTAAAGAATAATAAATAAAAGTACCAAGCTTCTATTGCGCCGCCAGGCATTAATGAAGGTCCATATCTAGCACCATCTTCTCCGCCACTAACACCAGAGCCAACAAAGAGTAAACCTTTTTCTTTGAGAAACTTGCAGCGTCTGGTAGAGTCTGTATATTCTGAGTTTCCGCCATCAATAATAATATCACCAGGCTCAAGTAAGGGAACTAGTTGTTTGATAAATGCATCAACTGCATCACCGGCTGTGGAAAACAAAATAAAAATAATTGTGAGAGAGCACTTTTATGAAATGAGGATAGACTATTATGTCAAAGACTCAAAACTGCTGAGAAACTTTAACACTAAAAACAGCAAGTAAAAACATGTTTTTCGAGGAGAATGAGACAGTTATTATATTTGCCTAATTGCTTGATGAGAGAAGGCTTGTTCTTTTTGAAATTCATTGTTTTATTTCTTTGTGCATGGAATTTTAAGAAATTTTAGTTAATATTTACATTATTAGCATTTTTAGTTTATTAAGGAGTAAAGATTTTGAATATTTAATTGTTCTATTGTGAAATTGAGTTAGAAATCAACATGTATTTCAAAAAATAGTATAAATCACTGTTAAATAATAAAGATAGAAAATTGTACAGCAATTATAGATGTTTCAAAATATCTAAATACAGTGACTTAAATTGAAAAATAGTAGCAGCACTTTGAGAAAGTAACACACTATTTACATTAATGTAACAAATGAACTAAATACTCTTTTTTTTTNTTTTTTTTTTTTTTTTTTTTTTTTTTCAATTTAGAAATTCATGCCATATTAAACCAAAATATACACATATTTATTTAGTATAAAAGCTATTCAAAGATCAAAAAATAATATAACTACTTATTTAAAAAAGGAAAACTTATAGGATTAAACTTTCGAAAAATATTAAAATATGCCAGTCCAGTAGAAATAATGAAGTTCTAGCTATTTTCTATTAATATGTATGCAACTCAAAATGTATTTGTACATAGTTTCTTAAAGTGAAAAAAAAAAAATAATTTGCATGTTAAAAAAGAATGAAAGTGATGGAATTTTTATTCAATTCTTCAATATTCACTATTTTTATATAGGAATTTTTATTTCAATTACCTTTAACAAGAAGCATAATTCTTCTGGGCTTTTTTAGTTTTGCAACCATTTCTTCAATAGAACGAGCACCAATCACTTTTGTTCCTTTGGCTTCATTATTCAAAAACTTTTCAACTTTATCAACAGTTCGATTATAGGCACAAACCTACAATAAAATAAATACACAATGACAATGTACATTAAAAAATTATTACTGACAAAGCCTATGATGCAGGAAAAAAAAAAGTTTTTTGAGAATGTTCATACTAGATTTTTGAAACAAAAAAATATTTTTTTTGATAAAACAGTTGGAGGAAAGTCATAAAAAATCTCAAGAAAATCAGATTTATTAAAAACACTTGAAGTAGATTTTTGGAATTGATAATGCATAATAATAAGGCAAGTATTAAATAGAATGCCATTCTCTTCAGGAACATAAAATATTTCTGAACAGAACAGATTAATAGAAAAACAAAATAATAATAAATAAAGCTACATTTAAAAGGTTTTATAGAAAGCTAAATCAGGATAAAATTTTAAAGAAAATCAGAAATTTTTTTGAAATAGTACTATATCAGGGTGCATAACCAAATATTATAATAAAAAATAAGCACCTTTTAAGTACTTTTTAAGCACTCAAAAAACATTTTCAAGCACTATATACGTCAACAAAATGCAAAACAATTTTCAAAGACTTTACGTGATCAACTAGTTTCTGACAAAGAGCTCTTTTCTTGATTATATTAGCCATTATAAAATGATAGAGAGGTTTTTCGGTTTGATATCAGAGGGTGAAAAATGCAGCAGAGTTGCACATTAAAGTGCAATAATCTCACTGAACTCAGCTCAGTAGACGCACATGCGGACTAAGTGTTTCATCAAACATGTTTGTAATATGATTGGAGCTTTCATGCACTATGAACCAAAGGTAAGCCGAAATGCATTGAGGTTGAATGAATTGTGAAAATTTTGAATAGAACAATGTGAAAACCATGCTTTTGCATAGTACATGGCAAAAATCCACATGGTAAAGAAAAAAAAATCTCATTTTCGAAAAGGGAAAATTAAGCACTTTTTAAAAACACCCAATGAAAAAAACACCTTTAAGGGCTTTTAAATTACGAAAGTTGAAAATAAACACTTTTAAGTACTTTTTAAAAACTCTACGCACCCTGTATATATACAGAGATTTAGCAAAATAATGGAAACTCTCATATTTTCATAATTCTCAAAAAATACTTAGAGAACTATTTTAAAACTTTCAAAGCGTTTAAGTCAGGCAATTTCTCATACACATCAATAAAGTTTAAGACTTTCTGAGGTTTGAGGGTCCAGCAATAAATTATGAATGAAAAAGAATGTTTTTGAGCAACCTATGTCAAAAAAAGCAGTGATAAGCTTGTAACTCATGTCAATTACGTTGGCAATCAAATAAAATAACTGTACAAAATTTTATAACCCTAGATTAAATATTTATAGAAATATGGACATTTCTATTAATAAACTAATTTTTTTGACTAACGTTTTCTTATTATAACTGCAGAAATATACAATAAAATTTTAAAAAAATTTTAGAGTAATTTTTAATTAATAATAAAAAAATTTGAAAGCAATTCTTTTAAAAATTACGCAAGATATGAGTATTTAAAGTAATCTTTTCCTGCTGTGCTTGCGCCGAAAACATTAAAAAAAAATTTCTTCACAGAATATGCCGATTAACATTTTTGTAAGTAATTTAATGGATGATTTTACAAAAAATTTATTTAATGGAATTGTAAGTAATTTAATGGATGATTTTAAAAATTTTATGATACGATTACTGTATTAAAAAATCGAAGGAAAATTAATCATTGCGGAACTACAAAACTTCACTTTACAATATTTGTTATTGCATTTGCTGAAAATAATAAATAAGTGTACTATGTGAACTTCTCCACTGTGTTCCGTTTTCATAAAATCGCTGAACTCCCAAAAAGTTAGAAACAATGAATGCTAGTGAACGGTCCCCAAGTGTTAACAAATGTTTCCAATTTTTATTAAAATCATTAATTTAAATTTTAAAAAATTGCTTGATCGATAAGTGAAATCTTTCGATTATCACTACAAAACAGAACAGAAAAATCAGGATTGGTGGCAACTAATAGATTGACATATTAAGAATATACTCGATCTCGTTTGATACTGTTTACCGTTCATGAGGTATATTCATAACTTAAATTTTTGTAAATATTTTGCCAATTAATTGCATGGAAGGTAAAAAAATCAATTGATCTGGGTTATCGTATCATTTAAATACGTGAATTTATTTTAAAAATAGAAAGTTGAATTTTTTTCTATTTCTGGAGGAACAAACACTGTACATTAAAAAACAGACTATTCATAGTTAAAAAAAAATTTCATAATTGCATTTTACAGTAGTACTTACTACAAAGCCATGATCGTTCATATTGAGTATAAGATTTTGACCCATAACTGCAAGGCCAATCAAGGCTATGTCAGCTCTGGAAAATAAATAAATAAATGAAAATACAGTAAGTTTTTAAATCAACATGACAATCAGCACATAAGAAATAGAATTTTAGACAAATGTATTTAATTAAACAAATTTATATTAACACCAGATATTTTAAAAAACAATAAATAACTTTGGTTCAATAACGTTATTCTTAATGGGAAGGGGGGAAATATTATTAAGCAGCAATAATGAAATTTCAGATTTAATTTTTAATTATTCAGAATATTAAAGATCTGATATAAACAACGGAAGTAGAAATTAGTTCTTATTAACTTTTGGGGAATTTAAGACCGTGATTGTAAGTCAAAGCAGACCTGTAGATTAATTACAGAGCGTTAAGTATAATGCTTGAATAAATTTGCAAAGTTCTTTGTAAATTTTCATCGAAATTCTGAAAATTTAAATAAAATTTACCAAAATTTATTTTTTTAAGAACTGAAATTCATACATTTCAATTCAGTAGATATTAATAAAATTCGTTTATTTGTCCTAAGATTTATTTAAAAACGTGTACACATATTGTTTTGTATCATCGACTAGATGCAATTAAAAAACATTTGGAATGTCTATTTTATTTTATTAACGTCATAAAACGAGTTTCTTTTTTTTCCGGTTCCCAATACATACACAAATTTATAACATTGCAAAAATGACCGAATACTGCCACAAAATATGGTTGAAAAATTAACTAAAACCAGTTGACAAAAAAATAAACCAGCAATTAATATCACAGCAAAAGCCTTAAAAACTATAAAACAGTTTGGGCACTTTTCAAACAGTGCATTATTTCCAAGTATTTAAAATTTTAAAAAAGGTTTATAATTTGAAGAAAATTAATTTTTAAAAAAGTAATCCCATTTCCTATATTCAATAATTTTCAGAATGTTTAAAAACACGTTCTGCAAAATTAAGAAGAGAAAAAAAAAAACTATTAAAAAAAAGAGATGTGATATTGCATGAAATCAATGATAATTATTTTTACGCAAAAAATTAAACATCTAAAACTTTAGATATTGTAACAATTAATACGAGGTTAGTATTTGTAATATCGTGTTCTTCAAAATTGGAAATACAAATTAAATCCTCATATTTATAATAGAGATTACCAATATTATTAACACCCTAGATATAACTATGATCAATAATTGGAAAAAATTCCCTTGATCTCAAAATATAAACGTTTATCAAATTTGACAGCATATTAATTGCAATCAAATTTACTAAGTGGCAAGTAACGATCTCCTCTTTAAAGTTATAAGGAACTAATTTTCGCACATAAAGTTTCAGAGAATTCAAACACAAAAACCTATAATTTTAAAAGTTCAAGAACGATGATTGTTCGATAAATTACCGATTCACTTCAACGTTAAGGATATCATATCATTTAAATTAAGTAATGCATTCAGCACGACCTATTTAACAAATTCAAACAATTAAAATCTAGACTACAACGCCCTGACAGCCATTATTTCAATGTTATTTTAAGCAACCTACTAACGGAAGTTATCTGAATTAAGTTTTTTAAAAAAAGGAAGGAAAAAAAAACTATAAAATAACGAAAAGTAATTTATAAATTATAAAAGAAAATAAAAATATATAAAAGAAAAACACGAAATAAGCTATTGACAATTAAAAGTTTTTTTAGTAACCTACTTCTTTCACAGGTGGAAAAAAAAAAGACACAAACTAGATAATATAAACTACGGGAAGAGTTATAAGAAATAAGCATTAGCACCTGTTTGAAATGACGTCATAAAATAAAAAAAGGGGTTGAAGTTCATGCAAATATTGTGAAGAATATATAGTTCGATTTCTTAGATGTCACGAAAATCGTTTGCAAAACGTTCAACAAAGCACACGATTTATCATGTTTGAATAATTAAATTACGCCAAGAATTATTAATGATCTTAAGCACATCAAGTTAACTCGCAGTATTTAAAAACTAGGTCAAAGCGAAATGAAATCATTTTTATTTAAATATTACAATATAAACGAAGTTCTGCTTTCTTATATTTCCAGAAGAAAAATATAAGACACTTCAAATTAAAAGAAAATTGTAGAAAACAGTTGTTGATACACAGTTTGTTACCTAAAAAATATATTGATGTCTTATTTAGATTGAAAATAATGCAATTTTCATTTAAGAAAAATAATTTCTTTTTTCTTTTTAAATAAACGATGCTGAAAATGGCACATTCTTTGGAATATCTAATCTTTAAATTTTAAATGTTCGTTTTTAACGAAACAAGACCAATCAAACATCAAGCCACTTTTCGAGTAACAAATCATTCTACAGCAATCTTTCGTAATTCGTGTCTATTTTAGCATTGGAAAACAACAGCCTTAAAACCTACTTTATAATTAAAACACTATTAAATTTTCAAAAAAAAAAAAAAAAAAAGAGAAACAGATGTTTTACTCAATGAAGAAGGAAAACCTAATTGAAATGAACAGACGTATGAAAAATTAAAAAAAGTGAAAGCATACATACGATGACATACGAAATCAAATGAAATAAAATATAATATGGAAAGAAATTTTAGATTTCATCTTACACAAACTTAATCAGATATTATAAAGGGACATGGGCATACTACCCCTCCTCGACCTTTAAAATATGCTAATTTAAGAAATTCAAGATAGGGAAAAAAAAAAAAAAACAATCATAACTATATAGTTAGGTTTTAAAGTATGCAGCTGCATGCCTAACTGTCAGTAGCACGCAGATGTGTCCAGAGCTTGACTAAGGCAGAGGCATACTAGGCAATTACCGCAGGCCCCACATCAGAGAGGGCCCCCAAATCGAATAAAAAATTTATTTTACATTTCCTTCTTTAAGGAACTTTATTTAAACAAATTATCAGCACAGTGTAAAATCTGTCACTTTTATGTCAGCTTCTTCATTAATTTATCGTATGAACACAATCTATATTTCGAGAATCCATCGCTTTCTAGGGCGGAATTCAGCTAAATTCTCGCAATTGCGATGGACAAATTTGACCAATCAAAAGCCTATATTTTTATATACCGCAAAATGCGATATGTTTACAAAAAATACAGGCTTTTGATTGGTTTAATTGAGCCATCGTAACTGCGAGATTTTAGCTGAATTCCGCTCTAATGTCAGCAAGGATATGAATTTTTCGCAGCTAGATGACAAAGTTAACAATCAGAAAACTGTATTCGGCATGATGGACATAGAATTGTCAAAGAAAATCAATAAAATGGACAAAACTACATTTTGTCCGCCATTGGAGGGGAAGGGGTGACTTAATAGTCTTAGATTCTAGTAAATTTTCTTGTTATTTATAAAGAGGTGAAAAATTTAAATGCCTCCATTTCATTACTGAAATAGTGAAGAAGAGGGGTGGGGCAAAGAAATTTTGCCCCGGGCCCCAATTGGGCTACGTCGGGCCTTGGATGTGTCTGGATGCACCAGCAAACCTTTTGATTAGATGCCTTTGGATTTAGGAATGGTGGGGAAAAAAAGATAAGTATTTAGTATCGATATATTATTAAAGTTTCAATAGTTCAGAACTCATAAACAACAATTTGGCTAACGCATCCAATAAATTATTACAGATGCGGAAGATAAAGATCATACTATAAGATAAAGATAAATGTTGCATAAATGTATAAAATGATGGCGATTTTTTTCAGCTTGTTTATTTAACGATATAAGAAATCAGTTATAAAAATAGATTTTAACCAAGAAAAAAAAAATAACTGAGATAACTTTCAACTATATTTAAAAAGAGATTGACGTAAAAAAAATACGCAATCCCATAAATACTAAAAATCGTTATCAACAAAAGAAAAGAAAAATGTCTACGCTTAAATTATATAGTATACTGTAGTAAATTTCAAACGTAAATGACTAAAGTAAGATGACGGAGATGATTGGGGCACTTAAACAAAGGAGACGGTATGTCGTCATCTAAAATATCATAATCTCACCACGCTAGATGGCATGACTTTTTTTGTGCCTAGGTAAGGTAACATACGAGGAAACCAAATGACAGAAACGTGTTCTTTTCAAGGCCATCAGGCAACGGAAGTTAAAAAGGTTCTAAACAGAGTGATAAGATATAAAGATAACATTTCAAAGTCAGTTGCATTAAAAAAGGTAATGCAGCCACTAAATAAAATAAAGTTGAATAAACAAAAAAAATAATCTCATTTGTGCCATTGCTGATCAATAATGTTAATTATTTCGAAACCTAAAATAATAATTAATCTATCGTGCTAAATAAACGGTCACTATCGGCCACATTGCGACTAAATGTATCGAAAGGCGATAAAATTTTTGTCAATCGACAACTAATCCCCACTTTTTTTCGTCGAAAATGCGCCCCAAATGCATTTTGTAATCATTTTTTGTAAAAATAAATACAGAATTATAAATATAATAAAATATTCTGAAAATTATTTTATTTCACCATTGTTTCTTAAAAGTTTTCTTCATTTAAGAATAAAACCAATTATTGTTGTATTTTCTAATGCCACTCGCTAATACCAGCAAGCCTGCTTGGTGAAACCATGAGAATTTAAGACAGAGGCTGCGTTTCTTGTTTTTCTGTGGCGCCATCTATGGAAAAGAATACTCATCAGCCACAAACACGTCACAGCCCGTTTTAAAGCTAGGACCCATTCATACATCAACAGATAGTAATTTTGACCTAAACCAGAGAGTAATTAATCTTCAATTCAGTACCCCCAGAGTTATTTATTTGTTATGGGACCCGACAGATTTAACGTGCCCTAGTCACCATTTACAACACAGAGAGTCTTCGGCCGACGCAGATCGAACTCACTGCCACTTGGAATTGGGTCCAGCGCCCTACCAACCTTCAGAATTAAACCTTGCAATGTTTATCACATTTTAAGAAATGCTTGAAAAGAAAAGCCTTACATTCTTTTAATACCAACAGTTTTATTTTCATCGTTTAAAATTTTAGATTTCTAAAAAAGTGGCCACAAGAGGA